GGTTTCCCAATCCCAGTACTGGAGGCTGCTGGGTATTAAAGAAAATAACAGAATTTGACTCTATTCAAAAGATTGGGATTTTATTGACTTACTAAAGGCAAACGCAATCTACAACATTTTCAAGAGCCTCAAAACATTCAAACAGTTCAATTCCAGACCTGAGGTCTGCATGGAGCTGTATGTTCTCCCTATGTTGTGTGGGTTTCCTCTGGGTGCTCTGGTTTCCTCCCACAGTTTGAAAACATGCTGGTAGGTTAATCGGTGGACATGTCTGTCTGTGCTCTGCGATGGAGTGACGTCCCATCCAGGATATATCCTGTCTCGTGGCCAATGCTTACTAGGATAGGCTCCGGCTCCCCCACAACTTGAACTTGAACTTGAACTTTATTGCCATATGTAACTGGTACTGGTCTGGTCTCGATTGTAAAACAAGTGTAAAAAACAAAACAAAGTGCAAAGTGCAAACTTGTATATCAAGACAATATACAATCAAACAGTAGACAGTGTACAAGTAAACATGTAGACAGTTTGAATGTAAACAATACAGACATGTAAACAATGACTGGAGATGTGCAATAAATAACAAATCATAAAGAGGTAGATGGTGATGGTGTAGGTGTGGTCCGAGGGGGATGGCTAAATGTGTTCGCCAATCTCACTGCTTGTGGATAGAAGCTACTGAAGAATCTAGTGGTAAGTGTCCGTATGCTCTTATATCTCTTGCTCATGCCCGGGGTGGTGACTGTCCTCTGTGATGGCCAGAATTCTACCACGGCAGCGGTCAGAGCTGTTTAATCTCGGTGAGACCGCAGCCGATGATCTTCTGGGCCATATTGACCATTCTCTGCAGTGCCTTTCTTTCTCGCGAAGGGGTGTTGCTAAACCACACAGTGATCCCGTTGGTGAGGATGCTCTCGATGGTGCAGCGGTAGAAGTTCACCAACAATGTATTGGCATCCCCCATCGCTTGAGGCACCTCAAGAAATAAAGGCGCTGCTGAGCCTTCTTCATGATAGAGTCAGTGTTCACAGTCCAGGTTAGATCTTTAGAGATGTGAATTCCCAAAAACCTAAAGCTGGTGGCTGTTTCCACTTCCGTTCTACAATACTGAGTGGGCTGTGAGCATGTGGCCTGTGTCTCCGAAAGTCCACTATTAGCTCTTTCATTTTCTTTATGTTCAAGTCCAGGTTATTGCTATGACAGCACCTAAGTACTGTAGCTGTACGACCTCATGATCTACTACAATCCTGTAGTACATCAAGATTAAAAACACCCAAATGTTTAATGTGCGCCAGGAACTTAAACAGAGATAAAATGACTCTCAATGGAGTTATACTGTAGACTAATAGAACATTGTCTTTTTTGTAAAGGTGACAGAGATGACCCTCCAAATGTTTTGCAAAATGAAGTTTCTTTAATATTCTTCACAAAGTGAAGTTTGTATTAACTGTTGTAAAATAATTATGCTTATTTTCATATCCTGATTAATAGCACAGGATTTGTGCAGCAGCTTCAATAATCTGTATTACTTTTTGTGTAGTTTTTTACAAAACATTAATATATATTTTAAAAAAAATTTAGAATGACAAGATGAGGTGAAACTCTAGGCATTTCCCTGCTTAAAGCAGACATAGATACCTTAGCTAAGGCAGGGATAGACTTAGTCAGATATTTTGCCTATGCATCAATAATGCTAAAATTGTTTAAAAACCATTGAATTAGACCACCATTTATTAGTTTCTTTTACTGTGTATTTTAATCAATAGACCATATTGACTTGTACACAATAAGGACCAAAGATACAATAGCTGCCATCTGTACTGTTCTACCACAAAAATTAGAAATTACAGCTAATAATGTGTCAGTTACCCTGCAAGTATATTACAGCTGCAGCACACAGGGTCCTCTTGAGAGACTGGCCTCGTCTGTAGAGATATGGGCTCACCCAGTGGTTTTCTCAGGAGATAATAAATATGTGGGCTGACTCTTGGGTTCAGTGGCATTTTGTGTCCTGAATCATTCATCCATTGGGAATATTTTTTAACCACTGCCTATCAACCCTTTAGGCTGTCTAAATGAATACATTAGTTAGGTCTGCTGTTGCCTTCAGTGACTCACCAGAGGCATTTGTACCTACATTAATGCCATTTGTACGGTCATTTACATCGGCCTTCTTCCCTGTAGTACTGCGTATTGAGGTTCAGTCTGCTCTTTGTAGTCCTATGGAACATCCATCCATTTTTGAGCTCCTTTACCCAATTCAGGGTCGCAGGGGAGCTGGAGCATTTCCCAGCAAGCAGCAGGTACAAGGATGGGACACCAGTCAGTTGCTAGACACACCCAGACACAGACACACACATTCAAACTAGGGCCAATTTTCCCAGAAGCCAGTGTGTCTTTGGACTGTGGGAGTAACCCAAGGACCCCAGAAGACCCACACATGAAGATGGGGAGAACATACAAACTTCACGCAGATAGCACCCCAGGAATTGAACTGAGAGCCCCAGTGCTGGGAGGCAGCAATGCTAATCAGTGCGACATCATGCCAGCCCTTATGGAACATTCCTTTCTCGAATTCTTTGGTTGGGCTATCTACCAGGTGTTACGGTCACAATAGAGGCTCACTGTAACATTGTTTGTCTGTTTTCTTCTTTGCAGGGGATGAGCTGACCAAACTGGAAGACGAGGACGAACAGGGCTGGTGTAAAGGTCGTCTAGACAACGGCCAGCTCGGCTTGTACCCAGCCAATTATGTGGAGTCCATATAATCACCTGATCAGAGGACGCCCAATCGGAGGCAGCTCAGACAGTACCGTCCAATCGTACCGCAGATAGCCAGAGACTTCAGAGCATCTCTTCCCTTGTCAGACTGACAAACCAAGCAGTCTTAACAAAACACAACCTTAGTCATTTAAAAGAAGACTACGTATTTATCCACTGTGGAGGAGGGGGATTTAAAAGAACAAAAGAGAACCATATATATATAAATACCATCCTAAATGCAAGTGCAGGGAATCGTTTTGCATTTTTGTGTAGCTGTGTTCAATATGAATTTCGTGCAGCTGATATGACATTTGTGTAGCGGTTTGTTCTCCTATACAATATGAGTATTATGTAGTCGATGACACTTGTGTAGCCAGAATGAGCTATGCAATGTGCATTGTGTATTTTTGATGACATTTTGTGTAGCAGTCTTGATGCTATGCGTAACACAGTCCTCATTCTTGCATTGGTAATCTGTTGTGTAGCGATGAAATGCTATACAATGTTTTCTTCCGTGGTTTGGTTACATTCCTGTTAGCGGTATGTGATATACAATGTGTTGTTTTTTTTTTTCTTGTGTTTAATTCCGGTTCGGTAGCAGCATGTGCTACATGATACTCATTCTGTGCATTTCAAGAACTTTATCTCAAGCAGCATTTACACAGCACACACAAAACAGTGTCGGGCATCCCTGAGGCCACACTGCTGAACAGTAATTCACTGCTGCATTGTAGTACCTGGAAATACCCTTTCAATTTCTGTTGAGCTATTGGGAGAACATTTCTCCAACACAGCGCACAGGGGATCCCAGTTGTTTTCTTTCTTCATCCTTTTTTATATGCTGTATATGTGCTTGGCTTTTTTTTTCCAGTTTTTAGTTGCTGTGTTTTTATTTTCAAGTGAACGCTTGAGATCATTCTTTAAATGGTTTAATGTTAAGGGAGAGGTGCCGTAAGAGAAGAATTTGGGTTCTTTTCAATCTTTGGTGATTTTTTTTTCATAGCAGCTGTCTTAGAGTAAGGTTCCAGCTGATTTATTGATGAATTGTCACCCGCTGGTTGGGGTTTGGGGTTTGGGGGTTGGGGGAGACTTTGTTTCAGAGTTGGAATAGTCTCTGGCTTTGAAAGCCTCATGAGGGGCTGAAGCCACAAATTCAGCATGCTGAGAGTCAGGCTGTTCTTGGCACCCTGCAGGCTGTGACTCCTGGTCCGCCGGAGAGGCACGGCCGAGCTGTGTTTCTCTTTCATTGTTCAACACCAGCGTTTAGTCCATCACTTTAACAGAAAGCATAACTCCATGACTCTGTTGTCATTCTGTTCTTTTAAATAGAAGATAGAACCCCCTTCCCCCTTCCCCTGCCTGCAGGCTTTTGTGCATTGATTTAACAAAAAGGCTTTGATTTGATCTCCTGGGTGCGTTTTTACCCTTTAATTTGTTAACATGGAAATTCTGTTCTTTCCTGTAAATGGTCCTGTTCCCTTCCAGGCTGCTGGGGGCTCCTGCGTGTTGCTCACTTGAGTAAAACGTGCTCGTCCTCTTCAGATGGAGGTGCCAGAATTAAACCGAAATCTCTTTTGAACAGAAATCATGACGAATTTGTGTTAAACCACAGACTACTAAATAACCGACCCCCTTACAAAACAATGTCCCATCCATTTGCAGTAGGATAGGACAAGTAGCAGTCCTTCTTGCACGAGCTCAGATTGTACCTCTCAGACATGAACACACGGGAACACAATGTCCTCACACTGTCTTCCACTTAGACGCCGATCAAAAAGGGAAAGAACTGCAATTTTTTAAATAGTACGCACGCACAAAAAAAGGGTAAGTAGCAAGAAATAGAATAACACATAACAGCCTAAGCAAAACTGAGCCAAAGAGAGACTTTAACAGCCCACAAACCACCTGCCCTTGCAGCACTCCTAACACCTCTTAACCATGGCTGACAGAAGACTGAGTCCCCCAGAATACTCTGTGGAATGCTGAGACTGGAACTCTCTGTGACTTTTAAAGCAAGCAAACTGTACTCCATTCTTTGTGCTGCAGGATGCATCCCGTTTAATTAAATACAGTTCCTTGCTGGGTGCGAGAATCAAAGTTGTTCAAAGGCACAGGATTTTGTCTGATCTGCAATTGCTCTTTTACTGTTTTGCTTTTTACCTTTGCAACCAGCACAGCTGGTAGCTGCTGAATGTGTCTAAGAGGGTTGTCAAAAACTGATCCATCTATAAGCATATAAGCATACTGTAACTTCTAACTCATTTCCCCAATGCACAATTATATCTTTTAAATCAATACCTCTCTTCTTAACCTAACTTCAGTACTGTATTGAATGTTCTTTCATTTTTTTTTGTGACGGATTTATGGCTCAGAGCGCATTTCAGATCTCCCATGAAGTCCTCTTGTAGTTCTGGTGAGTAAATCCTACCAGCTTTTAATTATCAGGGGAAAAAAAATCTCAAAATCCAAAATATTTGCAGAGAAGCGTGTATTTCAAAATTCAGACTTATTCTGTTGTTCATCGGAATATGAAGGCACTTACAAAAGAAGATTCCTGTCACTATGAAACTTTGCTCACTCACAAAGCTGTATTACAAGCTGTACCATATAACCTTTTTTGTCAAAAAATCTGAAAATATACTATAAGATGCTTTTCTTCAACTTTACAATATATAGTACTACAGGACTCTAAACTGCATGGTTCAATAATGTGAATAAGGATTATGTACTGTATGGGTTCGATACCTCTTATTCCTATACGTTGGCACAGCTTAATAATTACTTTCTACTTGAGCTCATTTAACTCTAGCTGACGAGTAGTGAGAGTGGATCATTATAATTGGATAATAACACAAGGATGAAACTCAAGTTCTAAAAAACGGAAATTGTTCAGAATTGTTTTTGTACTTAGTCCTTTCTCATTGTAATTTATTTCTATTTTTTAGTTGGTTTCTACCTGAGCTTTTGTGTCTTTTTTAAGTAGTTCATCTTGAGGTGTCCAGTTTTTCTCCAAAGGCAGAAATTATTTTACAGATGTAAAACTGAAAACAATGTGCTCGTATTTGAACAATAAGCCTTTACCAGCATAAATGAGAAGATCCAACTTTAATACAAGACACAGAGCAAAATGTTCCCTCTTGCGCAGTTTAATTTAAATGTTTAATACCTCTGCTGTTTGTTAATTTCTTACAAATGGCATTGGAGGTTTCAGACCAGATTCTCCTATGATTTCACAGGTATGAAATAAAATGCAGTACTTTTAATATTGGTCATTTTTAAGATATGGAAAAAGACCAAACCTCATAATTGTTGTGCCTGTTATAACTGTTTTTGGTTAAATGCAGTTGCTAGATTGTGTCAGAAGGCTATAAGACTTGAAGTAACAGTACTGAATTAACACCCCATAGATTCAAGTCTGAGTTTCAGTATTACTGGCCCACAATATTCACGTTGGATAAGATATTTTGATACCAAAGTAGTTTGTTTTACTTAAACATTCACAACAGATTTTCAACTTATAATCGCTATTTAATAATAATAATGTCTTTTAATACTTATAACCCCTGTTAGTTTATTTGAATGTACTTTGCTAGATTTGCATGTAGAAATTTTGGCTCTATCTGTCTCAGCATATCTGCATGTGAAGAAAATAATACAGCTTCCAGGTTTTAACTGCCCATTAAGAGGCACATCCTTCCTGACTGTAGCCTTGAGATGTGGTTCACAGTCTTCCCCCAGTGTCACAGAGAAACTAGTTACGTGTAAAACGTGAATGTAAAGTGATTCTATTTTTCTGTAACTGTAACTGAGTACTGTATAATAGTCACTCCCACAGTACTCTCTGTATATCTGCATTCACAGTACAGGGTTGGACACCATTGTAACCTGAATGCTGAAACTGTAGAGATTATAAAAAACAACAGACTCCTTTCTTGGTGTCAGTAACAATTAGTTCCACGATGTCTTTTTGCAGCAAGTGTTATGGTTTGGCACTGCTGAAAAGGAGGAAATCTATGATCTGAGCCCTCGTTTCGCCCAGATTTCTCATGACACCAGCCCGTACATACGTCTTAGTCCCCACTTTGAGTCCGGCCTAACAAACTCAGTGCACTTCAAAGGGTCCTGCTCTCCAATACACACAGACAGAACCAAAATCTGGGATCAGAACCTGGGAAGAAAGGAATAACGCAGTGTTCTTAATGTCTATGTCGGTTCTGCGTACTTTTAAAAAAACGTGATTGCTTCATCGGCAAAATGCGAGCAAATATATGATCAAGTGAACAGATTAAAAACAGAAGTCTTTACTTGAATATACATATGCTGTATGAAATAAATCAGGAGAAAAACAAAACAGTAGGTTCCATAGTGTATTTATTTTTAATTTGTTTCAAATGCAATTGTGAACCTATAAGGGCAAGCGATGGTCTCACGCTTTCTCAGATTTGTATATGATGATGTAATTTAAAGAATATATTATATTGTAACTGTACAACTGTGGGGGATATCACAAAACCTTGACAGAAGTGAAGCGTCAAAGAGAGATGTATATGTAAATGCTTTTTTAATTTTGGTGTTTCTTTGTTTTTTGGGGGGAGGGGGGGGGCAATGTTGTGAAAATCTATTTTAGCAGTCTAGAACCTGTATGTATGTTTAGATTTAGTGCTGTAATCTTGAAACTTCCCAGCTGGTGTAGTGCCTGTTCATCTTACGGTTAGAAGATCAATACGTTGGAAAAAAAACTACGAATAATGGATATAAATTATAACGAATAAAACTGGATGAAAGTTGTCGTGACGATGTCAAAGCAATATTGGTCTGAAAGAAAAAAATGGTTTGTGGTGAAGACGAATGTTGTGTGGGTCTTCTTTATTTCGGGGTTGTGAGCGTGGCGCTTCAGTGGGAAGCTCACACCCATTCAGCAAGGGAGTGTGTCTGGCGACAATGCCGAATTGTTGTAAATGCACTGCACCACTTTCCACATTTCACTAGGCTTAGCACCTGCTGTCTTACTGGACCTTCTCCCAATACAGGGTCATGGGAGAGCTGGAGCCTATCCCAGCAAGCACTGGGTAAAGACAGGATACACCCCGAACAAAACACCAGTCCATCATGCGGCAGACAGACACACACACTCGCACCAGGGCCCCTTTTCCCAGAAACCAGTTAACCTACCAGTGTGTCGTTGTAGTGGGGGAGCAAACCAGTTCAAACATGGGAAGAACATACAAACTCCACACAGATAGTACCCCTGGTTCCTAATCAAACACAACACTGCAAGGCATCAATGATAACAACTGCTCCACTGTGCTGCCTATGTTTCATGTAATAATTCTTTATCAACAGTTTCCTCAAAGACATGACGGGTAGATAAGTGTTCATAATGGCCATGGTCTACTGGAATGGTGATTACAATAATGTGTGTCTTACCTGGGCGTGGGGTAAGATCTTTAAATAGGGAAAATAGATGAACAGCCATAAGGCGAAAACAGTGCTATTTATTTTACAGTGTGACAAAATAAAAAACTATATTGGAGCTTTAACCGTACTTCAATGATTCTCTCGCTATACGTAGCAAGGCAGGAAAGCTGCTTCCTGGGCATAAAAACCTCAGGTACTCTCCCATTCCATTCCAAAAACAACTTTCAATAATATTCATGTTCCTCCCCAAGAAAAAGCACATTCATAGGCTCGTTGGTCAGTTATTTTTCACTCCCTTCATCCTCTGGTGCAGCATAACAGAACGCTCCCTTTCCAGTAAGCAGAGGGCTCTGGAACCCTGAAAGGCTCAGCTTCTGGGTTTTAACTGTAACTTGTCCGATTGTCTTCCCCCAGTGGATGAGGTGACTAACGACGGCGGATTATTTCCCAGTGCTCACTGGGTGATATGGTGAATTGCCATCTTGTCTCCACCTACTGCTCTCTTATGGAAGGAAATCCCAATGGTCAACCTCAGCTGGTGATATGAACCAAGCCTCTGTAAACAATGTCTAAACCCGAGCCTAACCTGTGCTTTTACTGGCTGAGGTGCCTGGGAGACCCCATGACACAGTGCCATAGACAGTACCTCTGTACATCACATAGCTCACCGTTTTATTATGAAAGAAACATTTCTGATCTCAGTTCTCATGGCCGACAAAGATTTTAGGGAGAAGAGAAGCAGGTGTTCACCTTGTTCAGGTTAACTGAGAATTTGAAGCTCATCTGTCATACTCACTCTAGGACATGTGTCCTGTCACCCATGGCAACCAACAATCCTGATTGTACTTACTACTGCCATCTGCCTGCTCACTCCACCTTGCACCCGGGTTCACCACAGCTGGTCAGAGCAATACAAGTTATATCATCATTCTACATTTCTTAAATGTGGATAAAGCTCACAGCTCTCTGGCTGTATAAGGCTTAGCAGTTTAATGATTTTGACCTTTGTTGAGGAGGGAGGATCTCTCAATGTTTTGTGTAGTGTCATCATTTGAAGATTCAGGTACAGCTATTTGTGTTTCTCCTCACAGAGGTACCGTTATTGACTGGCCTGTATTTTATTGTTTTCCAGCATGATGGCATCAGAACACTCTCTGTGCAGCACAGAAAGTCAGGTGAACGTTGAGATAATGAACCAGTTTGGACTAACCCCACACGTCCAAATGCTATATAGAATTTGTGGGCCAAAACTTTATGAGGGTGGCAGAGTTTTTTGCATTGCTGCCTCTGTGTGGCTTTTGTCTGTTTTCTCTGTTTACATGTGGGTTTCCTATCACATTCCAAAGACATACTGGTAGGTTAATATTTCTTCTAGGAAAACTGACCTAGTGTAAGTAGGTGCGTTTTCGTGCGTCTGCCCTGCGATGGAGGTTGCACTTACAGTATTCCTCAAGTAGAGGGCAGTGTTGGTCTGTTAAGATGGTAAACTGTCGGACGGAAAGTAAGGAAATTGTACGATTTAACGTAACACATGCCCATAGGAATCCCGCACCCTCCGTATGTCCCCCCAAGTGCAGTTCGCCCTTTCCCAGGTACGCGACACAGTTCATCAAAATAAATAGAATATTTGGTACAGTTGCTATGCATTTTATTATTATTTAGTCTACAAATAGTATGTTTATTTCTAAATGTTTAGGTAAAACAAAACCCTCTTTGTTGCGTCGTTTTGTTTTACCTAAAAGTAACTTAGTAATCTTATCATTATCGAATACAGAACGTTAAATAATTACTGCGCTAATATTTGATTCTGATAATCTCTACATTAATAAACGAAGTCCTTTTTCAATCCCACTCGGTACAGTATTACTGGAGTGACCAAAGAACACACAGTCCTAAAGTTAAACTCGCACCGCAGCTATTATACTTACACAATTATACTGTACTTGTTTAGAGAAGTTTACCTCTAAAAGATGTATATGAATTAATGAGGACTGTGTTAAATTTCACCTCTTTCACCATAGAATATTACAGTGGTTCTCACACCTGCAGATTTGTATTTCACATTAGTTTAACTAATGGAAGCCTCAATAGCTTGCTTAATTGGGACATTTGCAATCTCTTATCTATTCAAACGTTTTGGATTTTATTTTATTTTTGAAGTGCAGCCATTGAAAAGTACCACCACTAAAATGTTCATGAACTAAAAACAGTCAAACATGTCAAATTAATCCTGTTATTAAATAAATTTAGGGTTCAAGCATGTGACTGAGAGAGCTGTCCAGGAACAAAAACTAGCAGGCTAGGAGTAGTATTTGGAGGTCTCCAGGACTGGGTGCCATGCCCCAAAGGTACAGTACAGTATATACAGTGTTATGTATTGATTGCCTTGCGATGGACTGGCGTCCTGTCCAGGGTGTGTCATGCCTTGTGCCTATTGCTTACCGGATAGACTCTGGTCACGCTGTGTCCCTGAATTGGATAAAGCAGTTTAGAACATGAATGGATGTTATATAGTATTTGTGTATGATAATGCCATCTTGCAGGCTCCTTCACCTCAGCTTTGAACTCAAAAGTCCTTTTGTAGAGAAAAGGACCTTGAACCTCTGTTCCACGTGTTTGTGTGCTTGTGGAGCTGGTCCTCCTCAATGTGACAAGAGGAGCTCTCCCTGCTCCTGCTGGGATTCAGTACTGGTCTCTCGCAGGCTCGGAGCACCCACAGCGCTGCTCCCTAGATAGCAGATAGTTCCGTTGTGCTGGAAGACCAGTCTCCAGCTGTGGCAGTCTGACACTTCTTCGATTTCAGAGGGGGGCAACGTCCCTCCTGTCACTGGCTCAGTCCATGTGTACATCAGGGACCCCCCCCCAATCCTGTATCCGCAGGGCCTCAGTCACCTGGACTTGTAAGAAGCCAAACCAGGGCATTATTTGCTTAATTGGACCAACTTACCAACTTCTCCCAGCTCTACAAGTGCTTCTGCTTTAAAGACACCCAGAAAGCCTGTAGACAGATCGACCCTCCAGGACTGTATTTGCCAGAGGCAGTAAAGAACTGCCGGGATACTTCATAACTGTCAAAAACTTCATAAATATAGGTAGTTAGGTTGTACAGCCTATTGATTTACACCTCTGTGTTCTGAATACGCAATGCGACTTGGAGAAAGTGGGATGATTTCATATTTTTAATATTTTGGGACTCCTTCCACCATCCCTTGCTCATGGGTCATTGCAGTTTAAAGAGAAAATGCATCAACCTTATGGCATAAAAGCAGACTAGTTAAATCACTCTGTCACGTGAGGCCAGTAAGGTTTCTTTTGCACTTACTCTAATTCTGTGTAGGTGATGATGATGATGATTATAGTCACTTTGGACAGAGAAATTATGATTATAGGTGCATGGGTCAATGTTAGACTCAATAAGCCCATCTCTCTTACAGCCCCTGCCACTGTCATCCAGACCTTCAAGTATGTAATCAACGCTTAGCTACAGGCTAAACGTAACATCACAAACTGTTCCACACTGCCCAGCACATGTTGGGACATAGTGAGGTGTTGCAAAATTGTAGTTTGCTGTCGAAGTTTAAAATGTTGTTGAAATTTGTTAATAAATCCTTTGGAGCTTCAAACAAATGGAACAGAAGTGAAAGCCTTTATAATCTATATATCATATAATCTATATATATATAATCTATATATCACAGAGGCATCTAGCTAGTGAGTGAGTCTCCCTGCCACCTGCCCAAGTACCCACTACCGAGCATCTCCATCTCAGTGTAGTCCTGTTATTATACTATAACAAACGCTCCGGGCAGTGTGGGTAATGACAGGCTGGAGATGACTTTACAGCCTTGCTGACAGTTTTATTGCCCTTTTCATTACAGTGGGGCCTGCCACTCATGGAACAGGGAGACAGCTGGTAAGGCAGAGCAAGTGCAGGCAGCCACTGGACACTGAGGAGGGATTCATGTTGTTTGTTATAACTCATTACATTAAGTTTGTGAATACTGTTGTTTGTTTTAGTTGACCAATGTTATTTTAATTTAATCAAACCAAATGCATTATTATTTTAATTATCATAAGGGAAAGTTACATACCATATGTCTTTTAACCATGCATACTACTGTATATACTGTAGTACATTATGCAACAGTATAGGGATGGACTTAGTTGTATGTAAACTAGGCTAATTGCAAAGGTTCTCTGCACTGACACCTGTCAAGACTTTACTGTATAATGCAGACTTACAAAATATACATGCATGTTGTATGACAGTCTCCCATATAACCATTTCTGAATGGTTTCACCTCTGTGTTAAACATTCGTTCATTCTAGCAAGCAGTGAAGAAAATATTTAATTAATGTAAGTTGTGAAGTGCCCGTGTTGATATCTGTGTGAGTCCTAGACTCTTATAATAAGCCAAGCATTGTTCATTGGCAGGCCCCTGAACTCTTGATAAGTTAGTTTTATGTGTGGTAGACATGGCTTCTGAATATGTTACATGGATGCAAAGTAAAAATACAAAGCATTACTACTTTTGAGGGTGCTAATAAGTTAGCAGTTAACTCTCAGTGGATTGTTCTGTGTAATGGCTGGGTCAGTTTATTGAGTAACAAACACAAGACACAGAGGTTACTTAGGCAGCAGACCTTCATTCAAAATATTTTTTTCTTCCAGAAATACAATTAAAATCCTTCATGGTTTTTACAGTATAACTTTTCTTTTGTAAAAAAAAGACAAATCTTGAAATGAGAAGTCAAACTCTGGAAAAAAAAGTATCCAGAAAAATTCTCAAAAATATAGAACGTATTCTGAAGTAAAGGCAGAAAATCCATAATTTTGAAATTATGGAGGTGGGAGGGGTAATTGGACAGCAGGTCATCTCCTCCCAAATTATCTCAAGTCCCCAAAAATGGGTATATTACTCCTGCTTACACACAAAAAGGTAAGGATATTGAACAACAAATGATTTCAGGCGAGATCTGTGGAAAGCTGGACAGAACCCATAGCAAGAGGGCCAAGTGGTGTTTCCTTGGAAACCCAAACTATGTGAGAGATGTCATGACCTACGGGTATCCAGTTGTCCTGTTGTGATTGTGTACGGTGTCTTTTCATTGAGATAATCTGGAAACACTTTTGCCTTGCCTTAGAGTCCTGTTTAAGGAACACCATCTGTGCCGTTTAGGGGAAATAAATTAGACTATGCTGAGACAATTTGTCATTGTTAGAGCATCGACATGAGACTCACACAGGTGAAGAACAGCCAAACAATGTGAACTGAACCTTGGTTACCTTCAGATCCTTATTTTCTTAAGTTACATACATCTGAACGACCAACATTTTAATCAAAGATGTTTGGTGATGTGTTCCAATTTAAAATGATCCCTGTATTTTTTGAGCATGGTGCTGGTGTTATCAATTATAGGAAATGGCCTGCAGCTCACAAGACGGGGTTTAAGTGAAAATAAAAGTGAGTGCCAAAAGATTGCATTGTAATAATCACGTGTAATACAAAATAAACAGAAAAGGGAGAAAAAACAGTATTTGTGAATACCTTTGGAGTACACAGGTTTCCCAAACACAGGTATAATCACTGAACCAAGGAAAGTTCCCATCAGATGTGTGAGGCAGGAAGTTTTGAGAGTTTACTTTCTAATGACAGAGGTTAAAAGGTGTTTAAATTTCTGGGCAGAAAGCCAATCTCTCACAGCCTTGTTGTAGCATAGCAGCTAGACTCAAGCACAACAAGAGAAAAATTATTTAAAAAAAAAACAGGGTGCAAACTACTGATCCTAGCGATAAAGTTTGACACTGACTAAAATGTCGATGATAAAGATCACTTCTATCAAACAAAGAATTCTATTTCCAAAAACCCCCCACCCACCATCCGCCGATAGAGGCCGACTCAGTCAAAAAGTTTGGTCTTTTTTTCTGTCTGGGAACCATGCGATAAAGACTGTTGAAATGCCCTGAAAACAGTCATCTCTGTGAAGGCAGGAGACATACAGTGGGTTTCGTTTTCACATTTGTATAAGGTGTGAGCTGGTCAAAGTTTGCTCTGTGAAATCATATCGGCTTTAAATGGGGAAAATTAAAATTTCAGTCCCCAACCCCAGGACAGATAAGCCAGTGTCTCAATTGTTTTAAAAAAACATGGTTACCATGAGATGGCTGATGCACGTTTTCTCACTGTCAAGGAAAGCTTTAAGGTTCCTTTCAAGTCTTGAAATTTGTAGACCCTGTTCCACAATTTGTCTTCACCACTAACTCTGTGCATCATGGTGCTTTTTCCAAAATTATACTACATGTCAATACCAGTCCTTCCTGCTACTGCACCCTCTAATTTCTGTTTCATCTCTGACCCTATTGGCTTCATTGAACTAATTATTGGGATAAGAAGTCAAATCATCAATTTATCAAGTCTTAACAAGTGGCTAATTGAGTACAACCTGTGAGGTCTACTGAGTGGCCATTCCTGCTCTTTGTTCAGTTCTGCTGACATAGTGTGGCCATGTGATTTTTGGTCCATGTGCCATGTTTTAAATATGCGTTTTGCATTTTACTAGCTAATCTTGAACCTTCATGGGTTCAATTTCTGACTGGTTTGCTTTCTGTGTGGAGTTTGCATGTTGCATGTTGTCCCTGTTTTTCTACGGATTTTCTGTGGGTGTTCTGGTTTCTGCCCAGCTTCCAAAGACGTGCTGGCTAAATTTATTAGTGTTTCTAACCTGTCCTGGGTATAGTCCTGCCCTGTGCCCTGTGTTTCCAGGACTGGCCCCAGGTTATCATGACACTTGCCAGGGATATGTAGCTTTCTGGTAATGGAAAGGTGAAAGAATTCTCAACTCCTAATGAGCTGCTTGTGCCCAATCCACAAATGGAATTAATTGGTAGGTCAGCTATTTGACTTGCCCACTTTTAGGCTATTGCTGGCAGTGCTGTGGATACAAGATTTTAGGTTTCCATTTGTCTAGTCGGGAAAAGCTGACTGGCTCTAACACCAATTTTCAGATGCTTGCCACTGAAGTTCCCCCACGAAATAATCTCAGTGCACAGAACTCGAGGGTTTCCTAAAACCAGTCTTTAAAAAAACATCAAGAATGGTGAATCGCTCCTTCAAAACAAAGTCTATTTTTCTTTACAGAGCCCTGTATGGTTCTGTAAACCACAAGAAAAAAGCTCCCCCCCCCCTTCCCATAAACATCTGAGTCTGAAAATCTCTTGACTCACTATACCGGCTACAAACAAATTAGTTCCTCGAAAAGAAGTTAAATATGAAAGAGCAGGCAGAATGTGCGAATGCAAAGGCAGTTGAAGACGGATGAAGCCACTGAGTTTTCCCCCTCTGTCTTCGGGGTTTCCTTCATGTCTCATCTCATGTTCTTCACGCCTCTGGTGCAAGGCCAGTCTTCATCTGAGAGGAGGCGACAAACTTCATCCTTACAGCAGTTCACAATGGCACGGGTGGAATAGGGATACGTTCGGCACATCACCTTCAATTTCGGAAGCCGGCGTCCCTCAGTATCGGCAACAGAACAGTTCGGCAGGAGAGAGTGGCCAGCGAGGCGAGGCTCAGTCAGGTGCCCGCCGCCTGCTGGCTCCTTCTCTCGGGCCCTTGCGGTTCATACCGGGTGGACAAACTGGTACACCAGTCTCTGGGAGATATCTGGCTTGCGGATGATGCCCTTCTTGTAGTACTGGCGAATGGAGCGGCTCAGTTTGTCATAGTTCATGGCTGGGCGGTTCTTCCGAATGCCCCAGAGCCGCGCCACGTGAGCTGAGTCCTCAATTTTGAAAATCCCTGAAAAATGTAATCCACCAATTAGGCCTCAGAAAGTGCACGCAAAGGATAGGTTACAGCAAACTCTGCAGCCATGCAGTTTCTCTTCACACTGTGATCTTTGTGACACACTTTCTAAAGGTAGCCTGCTCCAGCTCAGTTCTGCATGAGTGAAGTATTGTTTGCTTAATCAGCTCAGGTGAATTTGGATTTTGGTCTGTATTCACTGACCATCTGAAGTTCCAAAGGAAGCCTATGGGACCGTTGATCTTTAGGACCCGAGATACACAGCCTTGACCTCATGTACAGATGTACAGGAAGCAGACAAGCTCTGGTAGGATTGACTGCCTGTTCTCATCTCAGACGTTCTTACAGTGGTGTATTCAGTGATGACCAATGTCTTTGGTGTGTCATTGTGGAGTTGGGTCAGAACAAGATGGCGGTGCAGCAGGGCTAGGTGCCAGTCAGGAAAGACAACCTTCATTCTTATAGTCTGAAACATTGCAAGACTTCAGTCCAGTAACATCTGCATATACTTAGCTAGGGCTTAGTTCCACTGAACCAACAGCAGAAGATCATGTATTGATTTTAGTAACTGGAAGTGTGTAGAAAATGCCCTGAAGTGTAAATTATGAGTTATAACAAAGATTTGCAAAGAGATTAGAAGGGACAGTAGAGGGATGCTGGAAAAGATCAAATGACATGGACTATCTATTATTTGTCCTAATAAGCACACCAGTCAAGCTCTGTGGCATAATTGAATCCTTAATTGGACTCAAAATGTGCTAATTGACCTTGTTTTCAGTTCTGTTCAGGATCTCAGAAAACCATTAATTTATGTACAGATGGGGGACAGGGAACTGGAATTATAGAGCTTGGTTTGAGCAAACAATACTTCTTTGATCTGGCTAAAGCCAGTGTACAGGAAGTTCCACCCTCTGCCTGACCCTCACCTTTCTCCTTATTGAGCCAGCGGATACAACGGCCATAACTATGTGGCTTCAGCAGCAGCTCCTTCAAGAACTGCCACAAGTGGATTGGCTGTCCCGAACAGGAAGAGTCCGCCTCCGTTGCCGACCAAATGTCATCACTTCCTGGAAACCAGAGACCAGAGACCAAGGGTGAGTTACAATGGAAGCAATCTCTCAATTCAGCCAAAATGCCAGACCTCTAGAGTTTCATTGCTTCTGTTCTAAAAAAACATTTTTGACTGTCTGTTCCCCCACTTTGTTGTTCGTTTTAATATTACAGATGAAAGAATTTAAGACAGTATTCAAAGCAACATCTAATGAATACATTTTCTAATCGTAATATATTCATTTTTGGTATTATGCCTACAGCAAATGAAATGAATAAAATGAAAATTCACCCATTTTATTTCTATTTCCTTCTTAGTTTCAGCTTCTTTTGCTTCAGGTTATTCCTTTGTTGACCAGTTGTGGGAAATCATTTATTTAAAAAAAAACAACATAATAATATTGGTATACTGTAGCTACAGACAACTGGTGCCTCGCCCATGCAATTTCCACACCAGTCTGAGTCACAGAACTCTTGACTCAGATCTTCAGCTCACAGTAGATCAAAAGCGGTAACTACTCCCAGGAAATGGCTGGATGAGTTACCTGGATACATTTGCTACTAAACCCCTAATTAGCTGGATGGGTAAAAGGCCTTCTGGCCGTTTGCAGTCCTTCTTGAGTTACTGGTGGCACAGAGCTTCAGTGGGATCTGTTTCCGTTTTGTGGAAGGTTTGTGGAAGAAGAAAGAGCTGGAAAGGACGGTGGAATTTACCAGAAAATTTGCTGTCTCGGGGAGAACATTCTTCCTTCATCCATGCGGCTGTAGGAGGAGGCAAGAACAGAAAGTGGTCAGGGATGACAAGGTCATGTAGATCACAGCGCACAGCGGGACACAGTCCACAGTGAGGTGAATTGCATCCTGCTGCATAAAAATGAAGAAAGCTAATGGAGAAATAATGCCTCTCTGATGAAGTATCAACCCCAAACCTCTCTGCCTGATCAGAAACTACAGTATATGTGCAAATGCAACACTTTTTTTCCGTATAAGTGAATCTGTGAAGGGGTGCGTTTAATACTTCAGAATTAAAAGATCTATTCTTTGCACTTTCAGGAGTTAGCACCAATGACTTTGTCTTGAATATTGTCCAGCGACTGCTGCTCAGTAAGACATCACGCAAAAGTAAATTCTGATAGCAGGGCATCAGATGTACATGCAAAGTGTCAGTGTTTTAAATGTCATTTTTTCAGGCTGGTGAGGGTTAGGGGAGAATAACATGCTCGTCTGAGAATTAGGCCGTGTGCCATGTGACATTGTTGTACGTTGCCATAGAAAAGCGTGATCGGCCATCTTGGGATTCCCAGTTCATCCTGCATGGCAGACAGCTAGATTATGACATAACGCCTCCTCTCCCACCGCCACCCAGCCTCAGTGTGGTGCAGGCCCAGGCGTACCTGACTTCCAGATGTCCAGGTGGGCGTACAGCACGTCCCCACACAGCGGAGACCTCTGTCGGAACTCCTCCTCGCTCATGGTGCACAGGTCCTTCCCGTTCAGCTCGTGGAAGGCCTTCCCCACCTGGGGCAGCCGGTACAGGTGCTCCGTCCACAGCACCCACTTCTGGACGTTCCCCGGGTTCCACTCCATGGGGTCTGCGGAGAGCACAGACAGCCATCGTCATGAGGCAGGTTCCTTTCGGATCCTTTTATTTTTTTTTGTAAATAATACAACTAAACTTCTCAAAAATGTGCAGTGCAGTATATACAAACTCTGCACGCAGTGCTCTAATACACGGCTGCTGGTTTTGGTTCAGGCCAAGCTCTCAGTTACACAATTGAACCATTAACAGGCTTCAACAGGGTTCATTTGAACTGTGTTTTTAGCTCTTAAACATATCAAACTTCACCTTTTAACTATTGCATTTCATCCGTTTTTCATCCAATTCAGGGTTGTAGCAGACCCAGAGCTACACCCTGATTGGGACACCAGTCCATCACAGTACAGACCAACACAAACACAGACACGCACATGAAACGGGGGACAACATACAAACTCCACTCAGATAGCTCCGCAGGTCTAGAATTGAACCCAGGGCCCCAGAGCTGCAAGACAGCAGTACTAACCTCTCCTCCACCATGCTTCCCTATTGCAGCTTATGATTAACAAAATCTCAAACCATTTAGAAATTTTTGTTTCCAAGAGCTTGGAAGTTGAATTAAGGCTTCCATCAGGTAATTAAACCCAGGTGGAATGAAAACCAGCAGGTCCAGGACCAAGACTGGAACCCCTGATCAACTCTTATTCAGACGCAAACACCTTTGTTTCAATTACCAAAGTGCAGATAATTTCAGTGCCCATTATCTTTCTGTTGTAGAATTTGCAGTAGTAGTAGTGGTGAGCCTATTTTTATGAGCCTGTATCAGGTAATGGAGTTACATAAAGTTTTATTTTGCCTAGATTTTATTCACACAGGCCCACACATGAAGTTACATTCAATGTTATATTATTAATTGTGCCATATTATTAAATATCATATTAGGTAGACTATAGCACGTTTCTGTTGTGCTTTGTCAGGAACATAACCTTATAGCTCTACAAAGTCTAATGTTGATCAAACTGCTGTGCACAGGGAGTGTAATTGTAATGATGAATCTGATGTAGCTTATTCACATTTCTCTGGGAGACCTGTTCCAGGGCATTTTGCAACCCAGTGTGAACACATGTGAAAGTCAACAGAGAGATTTGCACAGGGTGGAGTGATCTGCCCCATTCTGATGTTCACTGCCCATAAAATACAGTGCTGCACCTGACTGCCTGTGAAGGGGGCTTAGCTGGACGTCATCAGAGCTGTACAAAAAACATGGAAAAGGCAAACAAATGGCCAAAGTGTGGCCTCAGAAACACCCCGTCCTCAGTGTTTGCGCTGTTACATTTAACCATGTGTTTTTGGAGCACGGGAGAATTTTTTGTGGAGAATTTTGTGCGTTTTAGAAGGCAAACATTAAGACTTGGCACGCCCTCAGACTTTCGGAAAAGTCAGATTCCCATGGCGGCACAGCAGCCTTTAAGTGAGGTGACTTAGCTAATGTTTTTTTTTTACAGCATGGAAGAATAGTGTATCAACGGGAGCTTGGGAAAATCCAGGTTTGCTGAAAAACAAAGCGGAGATTAATACTGTATGTGTTACTTGTCTGAGCTTCAGTGAGAACTGGAATTGGGTGCAATTGCAATTAGTTACAATGCAGCCATGAATTAAGGAGGATTATGAGTTTCAACAAAGTGTTCAAGAATGCACTTTGCATTGTACTTTGTACAGTTATCCGTCAGTAACGGTTATCCTTCAGTTCTTATGGAAGATCGTGTTCTAGTCCTAGATACAGCCAGGGGATGGCTTTCTTTTCTGTTATCTTGTAGGTTGGCACAGGCATCCAAACCAGGTGTATATTTTTTACTAGTTACCTTAATCTGGCATAACCTTAAACTAACAGATCGGTTAAATTAATGCATAGATTGCCAAAGCATTTTTACTTTCAAAGTGCTGCTGTCTATTTTAGATATGCCTTTGTTTAATATATAAAACACCTACAAGAATGTTGCAAAGTACTGCACTGTCTGCTTGGTCAGGAGAATTCTCTACACTAAGAAATCTAAAAATGATGCTAACACAACGTTGCCCAGCTGGGGACGCCAAAACATTTCAGCTACTGCCTAGATCGGCAGTGCAGAAGTCCCAGATTCCAATTGGAGTTTGACTGTGATTGACTGCGAGAATCTGGCACTGTGGAGCGGTGGCTCTGTGGCTAAGGATCTGCGCCTATGGCTAGAAGGTTGCCGGTTCAAATCCTGGTAGAAGAATCCTACTCCATTGGGCCCCTGAGTAGGCCCTTAACCCCAACTGCTCCAGGGGCGCCTTATAAATGGGTGACCCTGCACTCCGACCCCAAGTTCTCTCCCTGTCTGTGTGTTTCATGGAGAACAAGTTGGGGTATGTGAAAAGACAAATTCCTAATACAAGAAATTGTATTGGGCTAATAAAGTGATCATATCTGTTGTTTCTTTCTGCTGGACAAGGCCTCCGTGACAGATTGGTCACTCACCAGGAGTGATGTTGAGCAGCTTGCAGGCCGTCTCGATGTCCTTCAGGACCTCCCCCACCACCATGCTCTGCACCTGCTCCAGGGAGCGCTCCTCCATCTGGCAGTCCAGCTCGGGGGACACGCCCAGGCCCGGGCTGTCGATGACGGGGCATTGCTCGGGCTCCTTCCGGGCGTCCGGCCTGGGGCTGACGTGAGCTCCCTCGGGGACCTTGAGCAGCCAGGCCGAGTCCTCGGTGAAGAGCATGTCGAAGCAGGAGAAGTAGACTCCCGACAGGCTGCGCTCGGGACACAGCAGGTCACGGGGAGGCTTGGTGTCCTCCAGGTCCCAGGTTTTCAGCTCGTGGTCCTCCCGCTCCAGGATGGTCAGGGAGCTCTCCGTGAAGCTGGCTCGGCTGGGGTGCAGGGTGCTCGTGGTCAGACCGGCATCTGAAGTCCCCATGGTCTCTGCCATGCTGCAGGGATTCAGAACTGACCATTAGGGAAAGAGGCTCCACTGCTCTCCTAAGAAGGCAGTGATCCAGACATAAGCCTGGTAGCAAAGGACAGTTGTTGTTTCCCACAGGTAGGGGAAGCCTGAAACTTTATTTCTATTCCAAACCAGGCAGTACTATTGTATTCAATACTCCCAAATACCAGAATAGAAACTTCATGTACAGTAGACTGGGTTCTGGACCAATTAGGAAGATTACTAAATGTTTTTTCAGTAAACACACAGGGCACAGTTTGTACAAGAATAAAGAAATCCACTATTTGGTCAGCGTTACCATTTCTTTATTGTGCTGCACTTTAAACGGCTGCTCTTTCTCTTTCAAAATGGACAAGTCGCCTCCTGATCTCGGAAGAGGAGGTTAGTGTGTTATCTTAGGAAAATGAGACGGGATTTACCAGGCTTAAAGCTTGTCTAAACGACAGATTTCATCATTCTTACGCTGTATGAACTCTTAAAACAGAACAAAAAATACAAAAATTCTCTCATGCCAGCTAATTTAATACAAGTACTGAAGTCAAAGAGATTTCATGACTAAGTTCTTAAATCAATATTGACTTACACATCGTAAGGTCTTTCAGTTAATTCACCTATTGAATCCTACTAATACGGATTACAGTTTGAGCAGAGGTTTTCTGCCCGTTTCGTGTACTGCATGAATCGAAATGGATCCATACTGGAATATGTAAACACTGGAAATATTAAAGCAAAGGTGCTGCTCATTGAGTGCTCCAAGTGCGTAAATGGTAAAGCAAATTCAATTTCTATTTATTCAAAGGCTAATATGGTAAAACAAGCATTCAAAAAAGGATTAAAGTAAAGCTAACAGAAGAAATGCGAATCAGCTTACCTGGAAAACCTCAATACTCATCATTAAGATTTTTAATCCATAAATTAGTAACCACATTACAAAATCCTCTGACACCTTTTACAAATATGAAGAACAAGAACTCAAGAAGTCAAGAACTTAGTAAAATACCACCCTGCATAAAACTGTGTCATTGAAAGATGCTCAATTTTTCTTCGACCTGCTAAAAGTAAATTTGCTGAACAGTGTTATGGTTGTCAAAGACTTATGGAAAAGAAAACTATCTTTACCTCTTTTGGAATAAACGTCTTTCAAGACGTTTGCATCCAGTTCAATCACAACAAACCATTAGTAAGTAGACATTCACTGATTTTTCAAGTTTCGAAACAGCTGGGTTTTGTGAGCTCTGTATTCGCTTTACTCCTGGTGTAGATGACAAGGGCAAGCCTGATCTCTGCATCTTTTTATTGACACTGTTTTCCAGGGGGGTGGGTTTTTATTTCGGTCTCAGTCCAAAACAATGAGAGATGAGCAAAAAAAAGTATTTCAAGGAAGTCACTGGGTTTTTCTCATAAGTAATGGAGTTAAAGGGATTTGACTGAATCATTTACTTGCGGGTCACCACTTGCCTACAGGCCTCAACGTGGGGCTGAGGGAGCCCCGTCCAGCCCTGGGCTGCAGTTACGTCCAGGTTTCACACTTTTTTCTTGTCCCTGACCCTGCTGTCTGTGAGCTTTCCAGACGGCTGGAGTCGGTTTTCTTAATAAAACCAAACAAAAAGGCCAAATCCGTTTCTACTTCTTGGGCAGGACGCTTTGAAAATGAGACCTGACAGCGATGTCATTCCTTTCCCTCGGCTACTCTAGGCTGCCAGATACATCGGCTTTGTTAGGGAAGGGAGCAGCTGTGGTCAACTGCAGGTACCATAGCAATTTCAATTCCTCCTGAAGGAGTCCTCACAGGCCAGACCAGCACTTTATTAGCGGCTGTTTTTGTTTCTCGCAGTGCTAGAGTGAGAGCTTCATTACTTCCAACCTTAGTTCGGAAAAATAAGACGTTTCTTTTGCGCACACTGGTTGGTTAAGCATCCTCTGCAGGTGGGCCTGGCTTTGAGTCTCAGGCTACACCGCAAGCTGTTAATCTCTCTCATTTTCCGCCTTTATTGAGGCCAGTAGAGAGGAGAGATTCTACAGCCTGAACTGCCTTTTGCCCAGGAAAAAACAGGTGAGCATGTGGAGGTATTTTAGGTTTTAGATTGTTTTATCCTAAGAAAAAGTTGTTTGAAGGCACTGTAAGAAGTCTACGCTGAATCTTGGCCCTCAGGCTGGGCCATGCTTAGACAACCTTTCAGCGCAGCCACACTGTATATTAAGAAGTATGTAAAGATTGAGATGCATATTTTCACAGTAATATTCAAATTTGAGCTGTCAAATGCCCAATTCCCACTTTTGAGTTTAGAATATTTTTTTATGTTGCTTGTGAAGAATAATTGTCGAAGTTAGAAAACTTGGAATTTGGAAAGCCAGCTTTGAAATTGAAATCAGTTCAGCTCTACAATATATCCGTTTGGGCTACGAAAACAATTGTAGCCCAAACTGTCACAAAAATAACTACATCTAACAAAATATCAATCCCTGTATCTTACATTCATGCCTTGCAAAGAATTGTGCATTGTTTCAGTTTTTTACAATAAGAGTGTTGGGTTTTACACATCCATCTCTCCTGCTTTCAATACTGAGCACAAATTCTTAAAATTATGATGTTTTATCTCCGGCCTTGTCCCCGTTCCTAGGACTGCTTGAGACATACTGTACAAGACTTCATGCAACATGACAGCAGAGTGGAAAAATCTTTTCCCCAGCATCTGGACAAGAGAACGCGATAGTCAGGGCCTGATTTTAAACAGTTCTTGTTGTTCTGTTTATTTTTGCACAAGTGAGCAGGTCGGCAGGGTTCCAATCACCTTGCAGCCCATGTGAGTTGGCACTGGACAGGGCTACGAAAGAAACTCTGAAGCCACTCCCGGAGGTAACCCCAGACGAAGACGAAGCTATCCCTTCTGAAAAAGCTCCTTGCTCATCTAAGTTCCTTCCTTGCTTTCCCTGTCAATTTCTCCTTTCATCCCTCCCCCCCATCAGAAAGTCTCAGACCTGCTCTTTTCTATTTACCAGGAGGCAGCCCGCAGGGCACAGCAATCCCAGCATGCACGCCGTGTGCCCTGTCTGTCTTGCGACAGCTTGTGTTAAGCCCATTAGGCCAGCAAATGTAGTTGTTTTCTTTCTTGTGAGGGGAAGAATGAGTGGAAAAAAAGAATCTTAGGCTCTCCAGGGAAAGGATTAAGCCCTTGACTGATCTGTAAATGAGTTTGGTTAAGAACTTCCAATATTCATTTCAGGGAATTAGGGTTTGGTCCATTTCCTTGGGAATCAGCCTCAGATCTTTCAAATAGGATCCAAAGCTCATACAGATAGCCTGCCTGGGAAACTGAATCCTACTGGCCAGGCCCCTTTTTTAACCACTGTGTGGACTTCTCAGTCTTCAATTTGAAAATCATGCCATGCAATTTAAAGTCAATTTTAAAAGAACTTTCACGTATGCTTTGTACGCTTTGACAGTTAAGACCCCTTCCTATCAGGTTCATTAGGGAATGATAGATCTTTCAGGCTTACAGCTGAAGTCTCATTAGTTTTGTTTAGAGTCATTAATTTGCCATTATATTCTAGCTCTCTCTTCTGTGGACTAGAATTTCTAGACTGACCCTTTATGATGACCGAGGACATTGTCCTATACAGTAGGTGATACTTTTCTTCAGATGAAGAAAACGGTGGTGCAAAGTACTTGATCATTACATCCCCTGACACTATTCATAAGAGTAGAGGAGTCAACTCCAGTGTCCTAGCTAAACTACTCTCTAAGCCTGAACAGTCTGGTCTCCCTTAAGTTCCTTTTATTACAGCTGATGAAGCTGTTTCTCTCTCCTCCTCCTCCTCTATGTCGTGAAGCTGCTGTACCTCACCCAAGCTATTGCTTCAAGGGTTGATGCATATGGGTGGTTATATATATATAATATATATAAATATATAAATATTTATATATATATAAATCCCTTTGGGGTCTTTTGGAATAAAAAAGAGCTATATAAATTGAATTGTTTTTCTTATTTTTTCAGTCGGCTAAACTATGTGTTGTTTAGATCTAAAGATAATCCACAGTTTTCTTGAAATAAAATGTATTGAGGCCCTTTAGAGACATTGATTCATGCTCTATGTCTCCATTTTTTCAAACAGGGCTGGTTAAGAAAGGGGCTGGAACAGTCAATTGAAAACACTACAAAGCACCTGAAGCTAACTTTGTGAGCACTGTCTCAGAGACAGCCCTGTGAGTCTCATTACAGCACCAGCTGGATTTGCAGGACAGTGTGTGTACAGAGCTACGTATATGGACACAGTGCAGTCCAGTGGTTAGGACTGAGGGCTCACTATGTGCGGACCTGGAGTTCAAACCCTAGCTCTGCAGCTGACGCACTGGATCTCAGTGGTCCTCCTTTGAACAAGGGGCCAGAGACGGAAGCTGAGCAGCACGTTCTTATAGGATATACTGTAGTTCACCCCCTTGGTCTCATGGAATCTGCAGAAATGGAGGGAATGGAAATGGGGATGTGGGTTCTGACAGAAATGGGGGTGTGAAAATGGGGGTGCGCATTCTGCAAGAAAAGGGAGAGCCTTCCTTACTGGCCCACAACCGCCCTGCCTGGGAAAGAGCAGTTATAGTTAGGACCACAGACCTCTTCCCTCCCCAGCCTTTCGTCAGCAAGCTCACCCCACAGGTGTCTAGCAGAGTCTAGCACTGCAGTATACTAGATCTAGGCCCACACTGGCTGTGTAAGTACCTCTCACTTTTACCTTCCAGCAGGAGGTCAGAAAGCAAGTGAACTTGACTCCTGAGCAGCCCGGCTCACTTCACAACCTTGTTTAACATCTCCCACACCGACACACACCTTTCCTCCCTAGTCACTTTCTATGCAAACAATTACAAGCCTGGAAAGAGATATGTGTGGTACAGAGCACCCCCACCACCTCTTTGACTCCTCCTATTTCTAAAATACATTTTTTTTTACTCTTGATTTTGGACTTAGCTTGTGTGTACAATGGGGTGGG